CACACAACAACAACACACACACACACACACACACACACACACACACACACACACACACACACACACACACTTGCACACACAACATATATATATGTATCGCGCAAGACGCATGGCGTATGACAAACTGCGTACGATGCTCCTCGCGCGTTATCTACTTGTAACCGTAATGATACTGCTATACGTTCACTTCATCCGATATCGAGCGAGATTATCTCCGTTGAGAGACAGCATTTTAACGGAACGGTAAATGTACCATTCTGCCATTTGCACATTCACGCGTGAAAAGTATTCAGCGAGGCTGAATATATGAATGAAAGTTTTTCGGCCGTACAATAGTTTGCCAAAATATTCGCTTATTTTTGTTCGTACATTTGGTGTTCGTTAAGGCTCATCTACAATGTGCTCTTTGCTTCCTGTTTTTTGCTTTTTGTCTGTTATCTTTTTGTCTCTTTGAGCACTGTTTTACCGATAATCATGTTTCTTGTCACGTGTTTCTTGTTTCTTCGAAGTTCGTCAACTTTTATCTCGAGCGACAGAAAACAAAGAAACATCGTATGACAACAATGGTATCGGATATTTATTTATTTTATTTAATCGATATTCATAGTTCATACATTAAAATTATCTTAAAATATTACCTTAAACATCATTAGTCAATAAGAGTGCTGTTGAATATTGATCTATGATTAATCAATGTGAAATAACATTTTTTTTCGGAAATTCAGAAGAAACAAATTGTACATGACAATGTTTCACAGTTCCATATGACAAAAATACAAGAAACAAACAATAAAAAGCAGAAGGCACGAAACAAGACGCAAAAAGCATATTGTAGATGAGCCTTTACTCTTAGCGCGTGAATCTGCGAACCACAAAATTTGTATACTTACATTGGATAAATTGTAATGAAGAGGAATATCTGAAATGCGCGAAGGGAGAAAAGAGAAATCGATCGTAAAGACGAAAGGAGGAGGAGAGGTTCATCAATGTGTGTATCGTACACTTATCGTATCGTTCATTAGCAATAAGTTATTGTGCGCGTCGTGAAGCGCGTGTACTTCTTGCATGCGTAGGCCTCACGTACGCTCGCGGAGAAATGATGTAGAGTGTCAATATTGTTACAAAATACCTCACACGGGACGATCACGTATTAATTCGATATTCTTTCATTCGATAAATTTTCCGTTTATTTATAGTATTACGCGAGGAGAAAAGAAATGACAGGAGACTTCTACAAAAATGAATATAATAAAGATTATCAAATGCGAAGTTCCCTCGTTCTCTCGTATATCCTTCGTATATCCTTCGTTTCCCCCACCACTCGTGTTTACCTCGACATCCTTTTACATCGAAAGCAATTAGATCTATCATTATCTCGCGCGATTGATTTTTACGTGGAACGCTGAAAGCGTTACACGCGCGAGTTTAAGTTCAATTGTTTCTTCACCGAGTAATCGAACGCCACTTTTCCTTACATTGTCATATCTTCGATATTCAAGTGCCTTGGCGATTATATCAAAATTCTGATCGAATAATAGATCCATTGAAATGTAAGAAGGTTTTCACATTTTGATTAGCGCGTTGACGTTTATTATCATTATTTTTGTGATGCGTGGCCAAAGAATTTCTTATCAGATTTGAGTTGCAGATGGTGGGAAAGGCGTAAACCAATCGCATAAGACCACGATCGCAATGGCGGCGTGGCTGGATAGTTTTGTGTTGTCGGGTGGTTAGATCGGTTTATCGGTACGACCGCCGTTGATTTTCTTATTTATAACGTCGCACGTCGTGCTCGGTGGACCGATTATTTCCTCCAGTCATGTACGGCTTCCTGTTAATGGTATTGTTGGATTTTACCCTTGATGGTACCTAACCTTTTTTATACGTTTGAACAATTGGATATAATACCCTTGTTCGCTCGCTGTGCAATTGATAACGGCTGTTTTTCTTAGTAGTCGGCAGCGTTTCTCAATTAGAGATTAATAAACATCTGGAGCTCGGCAGGGAATTTCTGGCGAAGGGCCACTTGCAGGATGCACTATCACATTATCATGCAGCTGTCGGTATGTTGAATTCGCGCCCGGCTTAGAAAATATGTTGTTTGACAAATTCACTTGCGTATCATTGTGTCGGGACTGGCGTAGAATTCGAGAATAAACTTTCTTCCAGAGGGAGATCCAACCAACTACTTGACGTACTACAAGAGAGGCACAGTTTACTTAGCATTAGGTAAAGCTAAGTTTGCTCTCCTCGACCTTGAGAAGGTTCTGGAGTTGAAGGCAGACTTCACACCAGCAAGAGTGCAACGTGGTAACATTTTACTTAAGCAAGGCAACTTTGATAAAGCTGAAATTGATTTCCAAGATGTGGTACGTCGTGTTTCTTTACACGTGTATATCATTTTTAACGCATTCTATATGTGTAAACTGCAAGTAATTGACGCCATTTCTCTTCTTATTTCAGCTGTTTGTAGAACCAAATAACAAGGACGCCTTGTATGCCTTAGATAGATTATATCCGACTAGGGAAGATATGAAATTAGTCGATGAATATCTATATAATGGTGATCATGCATCGGCTGTGCAACAGATCACTCGAATTCTCGAAGTGTGTCCGTGGTCCTCTAGCCTTAGAGAATTTAGAGCGGAAATGCATGTTGCTCTCGGAGATTACATGAGCGCTATATCCGACATACGCTCAACTACAAAATTGTTATCTGATAATACAAAGGGATTCTTCAAGCTCTCGACATGGCTCTATCGCCTTGGGCAGGTTGATGAGGCACTAAGGTAATTTAACTATCATTATTGTTGAAATTCTCATCGGAATGTGGCACTAATCTGGCTTAAAATTCAGGGAGATTCGGGAATGTTTGAAGCTCGATCCAGACCATAAGCAATGTTTCCCATTTTACAAGAAGATTCGGAAGATCAATAAGTTGTTGCAAGACGCGGAGACGGCATTGGAGGATACGAAGGATTATGAGGCGTGTGTCGATTCAGGCCGTCGCGTACTGACACAAGAGCCGAATGAGCAGAACGTGCGATTTTTGGCTTTTCAATATCTTTGTAAATGTTACGCGGCGACCTCTGAGACAACAAACGCGATCGACAATTGTCAGGAGGCGTTGAAGATCAGGAGAGAACCAGGTGCTATTTGCGACAGCGCGGAGGCGTATCTCGCCGCGGAGATGTTTGACGATGGTAATTTGATCCTACAATTTATTACAATATAAGGTCGATGTCGAATGCAAAAATGTTCTTATTTCTTATTACAAAAGAAAACTTTATTATTACAATAAAAAAGTTATTACACTACGAAAGCAAGCGAGAGAAGAAGTAAAAACAAAAAGAGGAATGCATGCGCAGTCTCGCTTGGCATAGATCGATTTGTCGATTATACATCACAGAAAAGTAAAAGCGCGAGATTCAAACAAGACTTAACATAATTTGCATATATATGTAACTCCGAGCACGCGCGAGCCTTTCTATAATGTAACAATTGTCATGAACGAACTTTGTTTTTGCTCCAATAGCCATCAGGGAATTCAAAGATGCGTTGGAGATTGATCCGAACCTACAAAGGGCCAAGCAGGGATTGCAAAAAGCGCAACAACGACAGAAACAGTCGGAATCGCGGGACTACTATAAAATCCTAGGTGTGCCGAGAACGGCGAACAAGCGCGACATCATCAAAGCGTATCGGAAAGCGGCGCAGAAGTGGCATCCTGACAATTTCCAGGAGGGCGACGAGAAGAAGCGCGCGCAGAAGAAGTTCATCGATATCGCTGCTGCCAAAGAAGTCCTCACGGACGACGAGAAGAGGGCGAAGTTCGATCAGGGCGAGGATCCGCTGGATCCGGAGTCGGGCCGGCACCAGCAAGGCTTCAATCCCTTTCAGGAGTTCCATCACTTCCACGGTTCTCCCTTCCAGTTTAAATTCCACTTCAATTAAGCGCGTCGCGCGACTCGCGATAGAGCAATTACCATTCTTGGATCTTAAACGCTTCGGACGCGACGGCATCTTCACTTCATCTTAGCCCGAATTTGATTTCGCTACCTCGTCGGTGGAGACCGCGCGTGTTTAATTCTGCTAGATGAATTTGGGAGATTTTTTCGTATATATGCGAAGTTATTGACGAAATTGGCAAGTGCAGACCAGTGGCCATTTCGCGACACGCCGGGCAACGCGATTTGTCTCGGCGTGTGTATAAGATGCGAAGATAGATTTTGATTGCCCGCTAGTTCTCGTTCACTGCGAAAGATATAATATACAGTACTCTAGTACATGCATACAGACTGAAAACTGAATATCATCTATTTCGATTCACGTAAACGTTCATCACGTGTAATATATTATTGTCGCACACTATCGATATCGTACACCGCTGTTAATAACAAGTCGACTGTTCCACGTGCTGCAGTACAAACGGAAAGGGATGTACAGTGATCACACACTGCCACTGATCGCTTTTCAGGGGGCATTCATTTTGTAGCTCGAGAACAATTGCGACAATTAGATAACTCGAATAACTTCGGAGAAACGTTATGCGTTTATCGGGTACGAATATAATTCAGTCGGTATTTATATCGTTGTCATATTCGCGCGTGGTATTCGTACTCGGTAATGTCCTAAAGTCTACATGATATGTAGGATAATGCTGTGCGCTTGTCATGTCTGCATGAGTGTGAGTCGGACCTTCATACGTGTAAATACTGTATCTCTCTGATATTTGTTTAAAAATATATTTGAATAATTTATACAGATACACGAAGGCGTTATATTAATGTATAAATAGAACGGAAGTTCTCTTCAATAATAATAATGTAACAAACTGTTGTGCGCTCAGGCATCATTTTCAAATCACTTTTCAGCATCTCTCCATTGTCACGCATGTAGTCTTCATTTTTTTCTTCTCCTTATTCGCATTTAAGCACTCTTTTTCGCCTTCTTGCTCTGCTTTTTCCGCCTTTTCCGCTTTTTCCGTTTCCACAAGTTCTTGTATTTTCCCAGTTGATGCCTCACCATGTGACCTCGCCATACCGATTGGATAATAGTCGCAGATTTATTCAGCTTCTCACGATGCTTCGCTTCTTCTTCCAATCTTTTGCTCTCGTCGATGAACTCTTCTCGCTTCTTTTTCAACGCGCGCATTTTCTCGATATCTGATCTTTGGTCTTCTATTAGCATCTTGAGCGAAACGCAATGAATTATTTAGGAGCTATTTTGAAGATACGCTTATCATTTATATTGTGCTGCATTAAATATATTGTCGTATGCAAATAATTTCTCCTTATCTGTCGTATTTTGCATTTCATCTTCTATTATTTTTTACTATATATTAAGACTCGAGTATACCCTTAAATCATCGATTTCCTGCTGCCGGTTTCCAATTTCCTCGTTATATTTCTTCGTCCACGCAATTAGCTGCTTTTCTTTCTCTTTGACATCTGCTTCTAAGTAGTTGCTTACTTCCGCCGAGTTAACTTGCTCTTCGTTATATTCTCTTGAATAATCACTCAATCTGTTTAGCATATCTTTCTTTTGTAGGTGCAGTTTGAGTTCTTGTTGCTCCAATCTGGCTTTAGCCCATTTTTCCGCATAGCCTAAGCGTTTGAAATTGATATTAGAATACCGAAGAATGCGGTTATGTTATTTGTATAAATCATACGTTACCTAGTTTTCCGCTATTTAAGAATATCGTGTGGTCTACTTGCGCATTGCTCTCCTGCGCGAGTTTTATCGTCCTTGTTCTGTCATCCTCGTTTACTTTTTTGTCGGATTCCAGCAACTCTCGGAGTTGTTCAGCTTCGCTATGCCATATCTGGGCGCTCTCTTCGAGATTACATTCGTCTTCTTGTTTTTTCACGATATTATGGACTTCTTCGAGCAAGCTGTCGAATCTTCTGTTATCCTTTACGTCGCGAAGGACTCTCTCAAGGACTTTATATACATAGTATCTAAATATAAAATTTATCGAGACGAGGATGTAAATCAGAAACGTTTGATGCATGTTTTCGGCTTAAGAAATTTAATTTAATTTAATTTTTATTTAGAAAAGTTAGATACATCAAGATAATATTTTTATGAAACATTTGATATAAAGAAAAAATATTTTAGAATAAATTTTATCAAATTTTTGTAGTATCACAATATTTTTGAGAATAATCTGCAAAAAGTGTTGAAATTCTTTCTGTAGAATTTAAAGAATTGATGAGAGGGATTTTGAAGCATGCATTTTTGCGCACCTGTCCCTCTGCAGCTTTTCAGCTGCGGTGGGTACAATCGGTGGCAGACCCATGTCTTCTCTGAAGATCGTTCTAGGTTCATCGGGCATCCCATACATCTCGTCGATCGTCTTAAACGTCTCGTCCCAGCGTGGATCAACGTCGGCCGGTATCATGAATTCGATCGTGGCGAGCTGATCTAAGCACTCTTCAAGTACGCACGACATAGCTGCCGCTTCCAACGGCGTGAACGGGTCGACCTGCGGAATTTTCTTCCGCATATTCTGCATCCCGATGCCTTCCGAGTCTTCTATTTTCGAAGATGATGTGTTCAACGGCGATTTTGAACGTTCCGAGGACGGCCTGGATTTATTCTGATTATAACGATTGAATAATGAATATTATCGGCACAATAATATTGGAATTATTTAAAAATAAAAATCTAAAGTTAAATAAATTTTAAAGGGGAAAAATTGCACCACTGATACGTTAATATGTGTAGTTTTTTATATTTAAGAGATTTAAAAAATTACTTTTTTTTTATTATGTTAAGATATCAATAGCGAAATCTTTTCAGTACTATTCTATCGCGAAAAACAGTTTTTTGCAAGTGATAAAATTATTATTTTCAACAGTTTAGTATATTTACGCTATTTGTCTTGTTTATTATGATTCTGTATTTTTACCTTAGGGCGTAGTTCGTGTAGCTGTGTTTGATACATTGGATGCGTTTTGCGAGAAAAATATGTTGCTTTTAGTAATTGCACCTTTGCGCTGCTTTAGTTTTATGGATTTTTCGTCTTTCAATATTGACGGAAGAGTCTCGGAAAGAGAATTTTTCTTATTTGATTTCTTCGTATTTCTTCGTATATTTTTCTAAAAATGCACATTTATTTTGATCAAGGTAATTGGAAATCTAATTATTTTACTGTGATACTTCTAAAATTAATTGAAATCAGAAATCTCATTGTGATTACATTATCTTACTTTATTGTCTCTAATACCCAGCTTAGAAATTTTATATCCAGCTAAATTTTTCATAAACGTGTCGGTAGTCTGCTTCAGCGTGTTCTTAACAGTGTGCTCATTCAATGATGCGTCATCAATAAGAATTAAATTTCTACGAGCTTGTTGAGAGAGAGAGAGAGAGAGAGAAAAGGAATTGATGATAGTCTGTCGAGCGCAATGTCTCTTTGGAATGAGTCTGTTTTATTTATCATTATATTGAATTTTTCTAAAATGGCATTTAGATTCGTTTTACGTGAAACGGTAGCTAAATGAATCAGTAAACAAATTACAGAAAAGAGCAAAACTGATTAATACAAGTAATCTAACCGTATTTACAAACCTTGCAGTTTATTTCCTTATTTCTTTTCATCAATCAATACATTCGCCAGAAATATGCAAAGTGTGAGTGCGCAAAATATTGGCACTGAAATCTTCGGTTTAATCTCATCCCAAGTCATATTGCTGAATTTTTGCTGTCAAATTCACAAACATTTAAAAGTCGAATCCTAAACAAAAAAAGATCGGATGCTACAAAAAATTACTTTAGTTACGCAATTCAATTTCATTGAATATGCACTTCTCGAAAAAAATCAGTTAAAAACTGCAATTAAATACTAGTTTAGATTATATTCTTTCTGATGTGATTTTTAAAATGAGGTTTTCTTAGAATCGCATTACATATTGTATTGAAAATAAAGATATATTTAATATAAATCATAGTATACATATTTCGTTTAGTGATACACAAAATAAATATATGTTTTATAGGAATCATCAGTAGCTGACTGAAATGTTTAATATTTCTGAACACACAGTTATCTTAACAACTATATTTTAACAACATGCATATAAATTTTATACTTTTGTAGAATATGACACAAATAATATCATTTTCTTTTTATAATAACATGCTTAAATTTTGACAAAAGATTTATTTTTAATGTACACGCTACAAAATAAAGCGTTAGAATTTTGAAGGCTAATAATCTAAGTTGCTATTTAATTAAATAAATAACAATTTAGTATTATTGTAGCAAGCAATATCGACATAACAGATGAAAAAAGGCTTCGATTTTTAAAAAATTCAATTTATACGAACACTGATTAAAAAATAACATCGCACGCGTGTGTTTGTACTTATTTATGTAGATTTTTTATGTCATATTCATAAATTTATTACGCTAAATTCTAAATTTATATGCATTAATGATAAATATATTCTGTTTGCAAAAATAAATTGAGTATTAACATGAGCCACGGTCGACGTGATTCTCTTTAACATTTGTATTTGAATTCAGTTGCGCAAAAACACATTATATTTTTATTTCTCATCTAATCTATCTTTCTCCCATCTAATTATATACTAAAAATAAACTCTATAGTAATAATTAATTCTTAACATATCTGTAATGAGAGTTTTATACTCGATAATACTTTGCATAGCTGCTTGACTTTGTTTCCTATTTTATGCATTTTACTCGCTAGAACGTATCACTTCATTTTCCATAATATCGCTATTGTCATGGTAATATTGATAACGTAAGAGACTTCGTGATCTATACGCTTGTCCGTTTTACCGCGTTTACATACATTACATTTCAATGCAAATTAGATGTAACTACGCGCGGTTGACTAAAGCGCATTAACGTTCATCAATATAGATTTACATTGTATGTACACGTATAATGTGTTACATATCTAATAAGAAGGCGGAAGTATTATACGCGGATCTAATCATCTTCTATAATGCCGTTGATCTCTCGATCGAAAATTATCTATTACGTGGATTTCTATTATACGCTCTACAAGCGCTTGCTACTCGCTGGACGACGAATATATTTACTTCGACAAGTGTCAACGTTTTTACACGAAGTAGCTAGTGTACTCGTGAGGCATCACACCCCTCCTAGGATAAAAGGTATGGCTCGTGGAGTATTCCAAGAGATTCGTGATTGAGCTCATGTAGATGTCGGCAAATCTGAACAGTCTTCTCGAGAAATAAGTCGGGTTGTGATATGTTCTGAATACTGAGCCGAATTGTTTGTTAAAGACAGATTTGATCTCGTTTCGCAGTTGGTCCCGTTCCCTCATCCATTCGTCCAGCTCCTCCTGCACCTGCGGCCCCTCGTAATCCTGATGCTCCTCGATGACGCCGGTCAGCATCTGAAGCCAGTTCGCGTTCTCCTTGAACTTCGGATCGTTCAACGTTTCGATCTCGTGCTGCAACATAGCGTGCAATTTTTTTCTGGCAATCAGTTGATTTCAACAGTGTGAAAGAAAAACTAGAAAAAAGCTGTAAAAAAACTAAAGCACGGGTGTCGGCGCGTGTAAAAAATTTCTATTGCAAATCAATATACAGAATAGTGATAGAAACGTTCCAGTTCCATTTTTCGGCTCTTCAATCTGGTAGGATTGTAATAGTGATCGCGCGTAAACAACGTGCGGCAGACAAATATTTTATTCGCGTTTACGCGCGAACACTGTTACCGATTACGAGATTGAAGAGGGCTCAAAAATTGAGCCGAAACATTTCAATACCCGCACTACTCTGTATTGATTCGCAATATAATTTTTTTGCGCTTTAACACCCACCTTTTTTTCTATTAGAATGAATTTCAGTGTGTCTCGGCATTTCTTTTTCGCGGAAAATTAAATTTCTCCCGAAAATAATTGATTTCACTCACCGTGAGTTCCTTGATTATTGCTCCGGTTCGCCAGCCGTGTTCCAGAGTCACATCTGCCAAGTCGCTGTACGGATGATCGCCAAAGTACAGCACTTGATGCCCTCGCCATCCGGTCATGTCCTGAAGTTGCTTGACTGTTCCCTAAGGCGCAGTTTGCGATTGTCATAATATTTTGCGAATATGTAATTTGTACGGGAAGCAGAGACTCACTTCAAGATATATGACGCCCTGGTTGAGCTTCGTGACTCGGTCCCACAATTGCGTTTGATTAGCTTCGTCGTAAATTCTCAAGGGGCGCGATTCTTCGGTGAAGAATCTTGGTTTTCTCGCTTGAACGATCACCACGTCGAAGTAATCCTTCCAATTGTCGCCGACCAAAAATCGCATACCCCTGTCACTGCAAAGGCGTAGAGAATTTGTTAGTTATTTGTGTAAAATTGTTTTATTATATCATATAAGTTAACAAAATTGTAATATCATACGTATGAAAATAATAGATCCAAATTAAAATTGTTAATACTTGAACTCGTACACGAAATGGAAAGGACTGTTTGTGACCAGGAACATCTTCTTGCCAGCATTTCGAAGCCGATCGAAAAATCTTCTCAAGTCTTTATTTTGCTCCAGATATTCACACACATTTTCTACTACTAATTGATGCATTATAGGGTGGCAGCTTTGAACGGAATTCTAGATACCGTATAAAATTTATTACAGTTAGCAGGATTATGTAGGTGATATTTCGATTATCAAAAGTTTACCTTAACGTCCCTGAACAGTATTTCCGGATGATAATCTATGTGATTCCGTAGAAAATATTCCGTTACGTTGCATAACAGAGACATTTCCGGTACCGAAAATAGATCAGCTAATTGAACCATTTTCGTACGATGTAAAGCATCCTTAAATAAAAAAAAAGATTTTTAGAATCTTTCAAAATATTTTTATACAAATGTGAAAATATACTTACCTTCTATAAATCGTGCATATCAAAATGATCCATCATCAAAAACACACATGTCGATACATACAAACAGAGAAGATTAAACATTTAACACATTAAAACTGTTTTTTTTTTGTATGTAGATGAAGATATAAATTGTAATCGACAAGAAATATTATTGTTTTTTTTTTGCAAAGAGAAAGGATACAGAAAGAATAATTTTCTTGACAAAAAAGTAAGGTTTTGTTAACTCATGGAAGAAATTCTTCTGTATATTATATAGAGAATATACAGAAACATTGCAGAGTTTTATTCCAATAGTTTAAAAACTTTTGATTCTCAGCAAACTTTGAACAAACCATGCACTGTTTTTGTTAAAGAAGGAGAAATGTGTGTCGCACAGTTCCGTGTCTCTTTTGTATACACTTACTTGACATCGTCGTTGCTCTTTTATCTCGTATTTTTTATCTTAGACAATAAACTTACGTGAGAGTGTTTATGGGGTGCCTCTACGTAAGCTATCGGTATTATCCTATTTTTGTAAATTCGAAGAACTTCTTCGTCGGGCACGGGATGCAAACCACGATAAACGGCGCCCAATTGAATTTGCAGGAAGCTGTCGAGCTTCAGCAGGAGACCCTTTTCGATGTCGTAATGGAGGCCGCGGACAGCGAAATTTTCTCTGTACTCCAGATCGGCGATTCCCTCCGGGTACTGCAGGAACAATTAAACGAGTTTCAGCGAAGTTCAAGATGGAAATTCTAATCGGCTGTAATTGTCTTTTGATTTCGGCACAAAGTTTGAGTTGTTATCCTTTGACGTAAAGGCAAGTTCACGAAGTTCCGCGTACTTTCACTTTTAATCTTCTTAACTTTCTCATTTTTTGATAAAATAGAATCTTGTGCAATAGTAATTTTCTTAAATGTCGTAAATGCTAGAGATAATATTTTGCAAAGAATATTCCTCTTCGTATTAAATGCATTTGACGCAAATAGTTTTAATCATTTTTTTTACTAAGTTTGATTGAAAATAAGAGACACTTGAAACGGTAACAAAATGAGTGTTATATTTATTTGATTAATAAACAAGTTTATGACAAATATATCGTAGATAAAGACCTTATATTTCTTTATAAGCATATCACGTCCCAGACTGTAAAGCAAATAATCCATGGACGGCTTGTAGCACGCCAGCGTGTAATCATAATCGAATCCGTACACTTGGACTTCCTTTAAGTCAAGCTCGTTGCAGGCAAACACACCCTTGGGATTTACATCTTGCGGAAGTTTCTTTGCTAAAATTGCAATGATAAAAATTAGCTCCGACGCAAAATCACCGTTCTATATAGCTTTCGAAAGGTTTGATTTCTTATTTAAACCGTGTACCGAAAAAAATCCGAAATAAAAGAATCTGATCTAATAATGTGATAAAAAAGATAACTTTTTGCGCGCCTCTAAAATTGGATCTCTCTCTCTCTCCAAATGTATCGTTCGCACGCGATTTTAATTTCAGTCAACAATGAGCTAAAGTTCTCAATTGGAACGACGTGGAATACGGTTATTACTCCTTCGGACCTAACCGGCGATCAATTTGTGCGATGCTCTCGTTTCATTCTATAGAGACGCGATACGAGCTGATTTTCACTGTCCTAGATTTTTCTGCCTATATTCGTCTCCTCTTTTGTCGTGCCGTGAGAGACCGATCTCCGATCTAAATCTAATCCATTTGTGCTCCTTTTATGCCACTTTTCGGCGCCGTCGCGAATTAATTATCCAATTAAGGTGTATGAATATCAGATGAGTTGCAGAAAAGGTCGCGAGCCTTATAAATCATTTATATGGTTTTTCTATTTGTTTGTTCGAATGACTTGCTTGATAATGTATTGGCATTAAAGCAGATTTTTTTTTTAATCATGACTTATACAGTGCGGATCGTGAAAAGAATTAATTTCGTTTTAAATTTTGAAAGGCTACGTATTTTTTTTTTGTGATAAATTTATGTAGAAATGTGCATCGACCTATTTTTTTTTAAGCAATACTTTCTGTTTCTTCAATCGATTTACAACTTGGCGAATTTACGAGTGTAAATATTTATATAATTCGTTAATTATAAATGCAAGAAAATGCGCATTTTTAATTTCAGCTATTTGTATTTTAAATTTTATCGCCAAAAGATTATTTACGATAAAAGGGAAAGTGAATCGGCAACATTTAACCTCTTTCAAAGGTGTATAAAAAATAAGAAAAGCTTAATCGCTGCTAATAGTTTTCCTTTCGAATATACGTTCGAATATTCGGCGGTACGCTCGGTAATTTCACCGCTGAATACGTAATCATAAATCTCTTTTGCACATGAAAAATTCACTTTGAAGCTTAATTAAATCTCGTCCCTGCCCTTCTAAAGATGCGTAACGGCATGTCTCCCCCTCGAGGGATAATCAGCCCGCGTGCCAATAACAATAATCTCCCCGCGCAAAATATATATGCGCGTCGTGTCAAGGTCGCGCGCGCGTACACTATCGATATATCGAACGAGCCGGCGCATGCGCGGCGCGCGTTAGCGCGCGAGACGGAGACACGTGAGTCGCGCGGGACTCGTGCGAGCGAGAGAGACGGACGTAGATCGAACAGCGCGTTGGCATGGCCGCGACTGCAGACGACGGCACTCACACTTGCACTTCTCGTGCATTTTCAGGTAATTCTCACGCATAACCTCGCGCGACACTTGACCGCGATTGAGGGCGCGGTCGCCCACCGTGCGTCTCGGCGCCTCATGCGGCCCGATGATTCGAAGTAGACATGCGAACGGCGAAGTCTCCGCGACGCGGCACGATGCTGCGACGGTTCTCGCATGCAGCATCACGGACGATTGGCGGGCGCGCGACGCAGACCGCAGCGACGATGCACGGCGACCGCGGGCGGCCGATTTGAATCGGAGCGCGATTGATGTATATATGCGCAGGATATTATTTATATAATGGAGGCGTTGTTTGAGCGTGTTAACTGCGCGTTATTTATACTCGAAGAATTTAAACGCGGCGCTACGACGACATTGTTTTGACATCGTAGCGTCTCTTGCGCAGACGCCGACATTTTACGCAGCAAAATTGTACACTTTAAATATCCTAGTTATTGTAAAATATTCCAATCTATCGTCCGTCATTGCTCTTGGAACAGTTTAGTCATTTATTACGCACATCGTGCGGCATTGACGCGCGTTCTGATCACGCCATGCGCAATTGCGTGATATATATATAGGATATTATTTATGTAATAGAAGCGTTATTTGAGCGTGTTAACTGCTATTTATACTCAACGAATTTAAACGCAATACGAACGTAGCTTACGCCATGACGATATTGTTGCGAAACTGTGGTATCTTTTACGTGGATATAAAGTTTCAAATTAATCTAAGACGAATGTACTTGGAAATTTTGAAAGTTTCCAAGAATTTTCAATTTTTGCACGTAACGTTAACAGAAAGAAATTTGTTGAGAATCACAAAACTTTTAAATGTCCACGTATTATATTTGGTTCTCCGTGCATTTGTATTTTTATCACACGTTTACGAAAGAGTTTTGTATAATAATAGAATTTTTTTATCGGAGTAATATACTTTCTGTTCTAATTGCGAGACAGGATAATATATATGTATATTGAAATGTGTCACATCCGAAAATTGTCACTTTCTCTTCGTTTTATTTTCATGTCACAAAAATAAAAATCGTTCGATCGATCGAAAGAGAGAGAGAGAGAGAGATTCCGAGGCATTAAAATATTCCCCGGATCTAGCGTTTACGTGACATCGGACGTCCAATTAGAGTGCCGGTGCGCAGGCCGAATGTTTGAAACGCCTGGGCGTCTTTAGAAAGTCAAACGGCGATATCTGCCCGCGGGATCTGTATTCCGAGTCGGCTTCCTTTCGCTTAATATTTTCTTCGTGTTAGCCCGAAATAGGTTAATTACCGCACGAATTCAGCCTGCGTGATTTGAATGCAGCTTGCGCATCGCGTCGGGTCCCATGAGTTTCTCCCGCGAGGTAAATAGCGTCCCTGCCGCTGCAATTGCGCGCAAGCTGCAACATTCGAGGACATTCTGGGATGCTTAACACACTTCGCACCTGATCCTAATCGCGAGAAACTGCCCGCGCGCTTCCAACCGGTACGAGCCGGGGCCGATTATACGCCTTCATATTTAATAGGCGGCCGCGAGCGTGCACGATGGACGTGTCGATGGCATGATTAACGATCGCGATTGTCGCTATCCGTCTGTTTCTTCAGCCCGCATCCGCGCGTCCTCCCTTATCGCGCGCCGCCGTTATCGATTTATTTGAAAGACAACACGCAGCGAATATCGATTATCGATTGACAACGAGAGGAAGAGGAATGGAATGGAAATGGAGGGATAATTGTAGCGCGTTAGCGTCCTTTTAGATGTTCTGCGATGACGTAATACTTCTTTTTTGTTTGTTTATTCGTACATTTGTTCTCTATAATCGCGTATGTTAATATAATCAGAGTGCAATTAATAATCTTGTTCTAAAGAGAGAGTAACAGCGGTTTGTGATATTCAAAAATGATTATTCATCGCGTCTCGTGATCGATGGACGTCGGAAGCTACAGTTTTCTAACGTCTCCATATGTAACCATTTTGCCATCACTTTGGTGGCACGCGACCTCATTGCCTTAATCTAAGCTAGTCTTCGATCCTCGATCGTCGTTCCGACAATACATCTGATTGTGAATACGAGCGGTTTTTTTTTCCGGTCTTATCTCGAGCACAAAGATGATCGATCATCCTTCCGGCACGATAACTATCGCAAATTATGTCACAGTTGCATAACACTCTTCTTATTCCGACATGCTGGTAGCCGAACGAAGCAACGTACAAAAATAGAATAATACAGAATATTACTGTATCCTGATTGGAAAAATTAATATTAACAAATAATGTAAACATTATAAGCGCACACGTGGATGTTTTCCTTACCGAGCCCTTCGATATACGCAAATAAAATTGTAGATATCGACGAACCTCTCGAAATACTAGTCGAATGTGGACTTGAAATATACAATTCCGCGGTATAATAAAATTTTACGCTGTAACAAAGTACACCCCCGCAATATTCTCCCTGAAAAATCTCCCCGTACGCTTCCCGCGATGTCCCGGGGCGCTAAACGTACATCCTGCATTCTATATATTGACAGTTTCAACAGAATCAACGTGCAACGCTGCTGCTACACTGAAGGCTACGCTCGTTCGGCGATCGCGGATTCCGTATCCGCAAATATTGTGTCATGTTAAAAATAGCAGCTTGACTTTCCACTCCTTTGCGGAGGGCAAGTTTTACGTCCGCAACTTTCTACGTTATTCAGCGCCTCTCACCGTGACTCCACCCTTTTTCCGCGTCATTAGTTCCTATTAACGTCAATCGCTCGCAATATGCTTAATCGCTAATCCCGTGATTTATAACGGACTCGAATAAATATATCGGGTTTGATTAGAGGACTATTCTTCGCTCTCGCAAGAATAATCTTTGAAGCGACTCGAGAATTCTGTCGAGTTACGCGCGATGCTCTATTATGTTGCAATAACGCCGCGCTATCGCATAGACGTAACAAATTGTGCGAGCGGGATACGCTAATTAGCTGATAATTACACTCGCAATTTTCAGCCAGCATTAATCTGCTACTTAATGGTTCACACTAATTTTAGTTTGCGGTCATTAAGCTGATCCATTTCTTCGCGGATCGTCGAATTTGCAGCAGTACTCGGCATAGCGCGTCCATTAATTAAACGGGGAACAAATGAGCGAGAGTCACGGATAAGATTCACAGTCAACTGGTTTGCGCTAACTTGTCCGACTACTTTTCGCAAAAAACGAGGGAATCAGCAATGCAATCCTGCTCAATTGCAAAAATATTCTTCACCAGCCGTGATGTTCTGTTAATTACATCGTTAAGGTTTACAATGCTGGGTCGAGTGGGAAGAAATGACGACTCGCTAAATAATTTAATAGTTTCTGATGGAGGTGAAACGCGATGAAGGAATGCAATTCTGCCATTTCCGCGAGACAATTGGAGTTTTCAGACGTTACTAATTGTACGCCGGAAGGCAGTGTTTTTAAGATCATCTACTGAATGCACGGAATTATGAATCCGCGTGTGCGCATTCTGCGTAAAGGCAGTCGCGCGTTTCTCATCGCACGGATGACTTCCTGACTCGATTTTTATCGCGCGCGCATTCAGCTCCTTCATAGTTTTCTAACAATCGCCCGTATTTGCCTTCCCGGCGGACGGAGGTTAATTACAATCAGAGGGAGCGTGTTAATGAGACTGCAAACTTTATACTGCGCGAAAAGCGGGAGAAGCAAGTTTCTCCGTTTGCGACAATGCGATGCAATCTAAGGCGCCGCTGATGGAGGCAAAAGCCGTTTGGAGCGAACACGTTTTTGGTTTAACGTGTTCGAGATTGCGACTTTCTATGCAACAATGTGCACAACAGGCATCGACAGGCGGTGATCAGTCGAAAGTAGAAATGCTTTAAAATGCGGTAAATATTATTAAAGATCTGAAATAAAAAAAAAAAATAAATAAAAAAAAATCCGACAAAGTTAGTCGAAAAGCATGAACGTTTCGAAGCGCAAAATAGAATCGCAATGGATGTGATAAAGAGTGGAGCTATATTTCACAAGCTCTTCACTCTGTGACGAATATTTTAAAAATAAAATTTTACGTTTTTTTTTCTTTTTTTTTTCAGTTTTCAAAACTATCTGCATGACCTACGCGCATTATCAAATACCAAACTTTTGTATGACAGTTTTCATAATTGTAAAATTACACATTTCGCAATTTTTTAATCTCTCCTCTGAAATACAATACAAATAGAATAATAATCCGACAGAATTGACAAAAAAAAAACTACAAAAGCGCGATTGCCGGAGCGCAAAGAGTATAAATATATATAAAAAAAAAATGACAAATACGTTTCGACCACAATTTAAAGTTCTTTTCAGTTTAACGAGATGCGACGAAGGGAGGAAAAGGGGTTCAGATCTAATGGAACCGATTTTGCGCAATATCCGCTTTTCATCAAGGCCACGGACTATTTCGATTTCGGGACATCGCTCACCTTTGACGGAGGATTGCTTCGAGATGCACGTGCAATTAATATTTCTTTTCTACGTCTAACGCACGTTAAAATTGCAGTACGCGCCGCTCAAACGAAATGCACGAGTGTGCGTATGCGCGCGCGCACACACGGCAAAGGTGGCGAAGAACGCAGATTGCTAAAGGCGCTGTTCCGGTGACCTACTCCGCGATTATCACTCACCGCGGCCGATCGTCGATGCAAGTGCGTGAGCGTTAACTAGTGTGCCAACTATACTACACCATGGGAAAAGGAGGCCGCCACGCGGGGACGTAATCGCGCAAACGTTGCGCGAGTCGTCTTGTTTCCGAGCCCTTTCCCACAGCGTAACTCCGACAAGTGCGTTGAACCGTGCGCGTCCGCGCATAGATCGCGCGCTTGCTCTTACGCTTAATTTTTCAAGGCCGTCCTTCGGCTTAAACTCGCCAATTTGTTTCGTTAATGCAAAGATTTATAACGCACGACGTGCAATTTTGTCCGTGCGATTTTTCGAGGCAAAGCTTAATCTTG